ATTTCCTCACTTGCGAGAGAAATGCACCCAAAATTTGTAGAATCACATCAGGTTGCTAAGCAACCAATAGTTTGCCTCTGTCACTCGTTGGTGATCAATTCAAGTCATTCATCAAGGTCTAAAGCACCTTGTAAAGGAATCCCAATACATTTTGTTCCTTGGGAAACCTCCGTAACTTCTTGTAACGCAAGAACACACTGGCTCTGAGAAGATAAACTTTGTAGATGCTCTTTTGATGAATGTGATATGTTAATTCATTATTCTTTAAAACACTGCTAATGGGAAAAGCAATAATTAACCACATCAATGTAACACATGTGAGATAAACTGGAGTAATTAGTACTGTTTTGCAATAGTTCCTGTCCTCTCCCAGTGGGGAAATTAAAAATAAAGAAAAGCTGGGGAATAGAGAAGCTTTCTTACCATGCCCACTATTCACAACATCCTTGAGACTACCTTAAAGCTACTTTTTGCTGGCTTGCCCCCTCCCATCCAATGACAGGTGATTCATTAAGCATTTCAGTGGCAAACAAAATGGCTGCAGTTCAGACTCCACTAAATAAACATAAAATGCTTGCAAATAATCTCTTATTTATAGGAATACTTGTCTTGCGGCTTTCTGGAATAAATAGCAGGGCTATTATGTTTTCACTCATTATGTTTAATTATCAACGTAGCACATGCTAAATGCCTGTAATAATTGCACTCCTCTGAGTGACAGCTACTATGTTGAATAGAAAATTATAATCCAAAGACCCACAATTGAACGTATGTACAGTATCCTAATTTTCTTGTTGCAAGCCCTCGTAAAGAATACAACTATTCATTTCTTGGCAGCACAGTAGTACAGTAGAGAATTACTGTCACTGATGACGTAGGTAGTATGCTCTTCCATTTATGAATAAACTTTTACATACCCAAAGTACAATGCAAATGCATTGACTGTTATTAATGTTTCAATGAAACATTTTCATTTCATACTGAAAGAACTAGTCCATTGTGTTTGGAGCAACAATTAGTGTCCTTACTCAAACTGCTGCAACCAGAACTGAGGTGGGCATACTCCACAGGCAAGCCCCTGCCTCATGAGACCATCCAAGCAGCTGTGCTAGAGTAGACCAAAGACCCATCTAGCCTTGAATCCTTTTCTCACAGGTGCCAATCAGATGCCTATAATAGGAAACCCGCAATCAGAACCTGAGCACAACACTCTCCCCAGTTGAGATTCCCAGCAACTAGCCACACGATCCAATTCAATTCATGCTCTTAGCTCCTCACTCTCTCTTTCATTCCCTAAAAGACAAAAAGACCTTCATTTTCAGGAAGGGGGCACCAGCACTCAGATACATGCAGATTCCTGCCTATGCCAAACCTCTTACATCTGTAGTCAATAAAGTTGTGGGCTGATTTAACCCAAATGATAGTCTCAGGGCTGGTATAGTTGCCATGCTTCTTACTATTGGTATTGGTACTGGGAGGTTCAAAGGGTAGCAGAGATGCTTTGTCACACAAAACTCACATGCTCCAGGAATCCCTTGCTGATCTATACATAGTGTAGACATTTGACTTGCCTTTTGAACCAGAAAAAAACTTCTCAGGAAATGACACATAAATGTATAAGTCAGCCACAACTTGTGATCTGGAAAAATCAATATTTTGTACCAGATAAATATGAGCTTCTTATGATAGCAGCAGCAGATGACAGTTGGGCATTAGCCACATGGTTCTTCAAGCGGTACTATCTAGAACAGTACTTTTCTCTAAAAGAGAACTATCCTGAGAATGCTAGCCTCATCAGCCCCCAAAGCGTTGTAAAAATATGCATGCCTCAGTCCAGTAGTCTTGGGCATTTTGCTTCAACATCAAGGTTACCTTAAGAATGAAATCAAATAGGGATGTGTGGGAAAGAGATGCTGGTCCAATAGTCAAATGGTCCCCTCAAGCACTCTTATCAAATGCTTGAAGAAAGGAACCCTTGAAGAAGAACCTGATCAGTGACATCTCTCTGATGTCAGCTACCCTTCCCCATCCCCACAATGGAGAAGAATGATGGTGTATCAGGCAGCATGGGGTTCCAGCAACAATTGGAAAAGTCTTCTTGGTGTCTCCTGGTTCTAGAAATGAAGTTCAGAATGACATTTCCACCAGCTAATGAGAGGCTAGTCTGTCATTTCCTGCAGGAGTTCAAGGGCTTGTATGTCTGGAGGAAGAAAAGCATTAGGGGAAATAATTTCTATCAAGAGGGAAGCTGAAACTAAGCTCCTTCTTCTGTCACTGGCAGAGCCTCCCCACTGGCATACACATCTTGCTACACTGTTTCCATCTGGAAGGTGAGGGATTTGCTGCCCTTTGAGGAAGGGAAAGATTTGCAAAAAGAACTGAGGCAGACACTCACTCAAGTTGCCATCATGTAAGGTTTGGGATGGAGAGAGGTTGGCAGGCAGGCAGGATCTCACACATAGTGGAAGCATTCATGCCTTGTCTTGCTCCTGGTGTGGTTTCTGAATTTTGAAATATGGTTTGGGGGCTGGAGGAATGATATAGTCTCTAGTTTTTGTTTGGAAAACAGCTTGTATTAGCTGAGCCCAAACTGAAATCAAGCTGAGACATAGTCTACACTTTTATTCACCACGACCACCACCCTGCAAATGGATTTCTGATGGATTAGGTCAGAGGTGGAGAACTCCCAGCCTGGTAGCTGAATGTGGTCCTCCAAAGAAGCCCTGGCTGCTGGCTTCCTCCTCCTTAGTTTCAATTTTGCCCATGCAGAACTCAGGGAGGAACCTGGAAGAAGTTGGCCCCAGCTGTCATTGGCTCAGGCTTCACCTACTGTTGGCCTTCCTGCTTTCTATCCTCCTAGTCCCAAAAGGCAAGAGCCACCAGTGACCATGGCCAATAATGAGGGATGATGGGAGTTGTAGTCCAACAATATCAGAAGGGAACCAAGCTATATGTTAGATGATCCAGACTAAAGTTACTTCCACTTAGGTGCAACTGAAATGAGCAGAACTTGATTTTATTAATGGCTTACTTTACGCCCTGATTTCAAGCAGGTGTGTGACAAAATTAGGGCCAAACTGACACACTGACTCTAAACATGTTATTAGCAACCGCACCAAGTTTTTAAAATTTAATAGCAGGTGCTGCAGGAGAAAGCAGTTTTCATGGGGACCGCAGTGTGTAGGATGTTGTCAATGAACCACTGTGTCAACAAACTGCTAATAGCCTTGGACAAGAGGGGGTTCTTATTGGCACCAATGGCAGGGTTTGTTTGTTTCTTCTAACCCTTATCCTGCATGAGGATCATGGCTGGGGAGAAAAGGTTTAAAATTATCCTCCTCCTCCTGCACTACATTCTGATAGGCAGTGCACTCCTCCCTTTCGCTGCTATTAAATAAAAAACAAATTGAGACTGGATTCAATCCAGTGGTCTGAGACACACTCTCAGGGGCAGCCAATTCCTTTGAGTTATTTAATGGATTTCCACCCTGCTTTTCTATTATAAAAAAGAAACTCTGCTTTCAAATCCAAGGCAATACACCCAAACATCTCAACCCTGTGTTAGGTTGCTGCCATGTTCCTAAAAAGCGTTTGTGGAGGGGGCAGAAGGGTGTGAATTTTTCACCCTGCCTTCTTCCTTCTAAGATCCATTGCCCAGTTCTGCTTCCCCTTAGGAGCCTTCAAGGCTGGAAGGAACTTCTACCAGAAAGGAAAGCATGTGGGAGGAAGTGGCTTTTGGGAGGGAAGGCGGGACTAGTGTAGGGAGGGTTTATCCTGCCGCAGCTCAGTCCAATGTACAGGAAGTTGGCTTTGCCAACATTCTAACTCATAGGCCATTCCACCGTAAACATCTCAGGTGGTCTTCAGTTACAGAGGACACTTATTTAACCATCAATAAGCACATCTGGCCTTTTTTGAATGAAATGCTATCTCCATAAATAAGAGCTGTGCTCCCACTGGAAAACCAAACCAAGCCCTGCAAGACTGAATGCATCCAAAACATCCAGCATGACATAGAATCATTGAGTTGGAAGGGACCACGAGGGTCATCTAGTCCAACCCCCTGCAGCGCAGGAATCTCTTGCCCAATGTGGGGCTCAAACCCACACCCCTGAGGTTTAAGTGTTTCATATAGCACAAACAACTAAAGGTATCTAATCCTCAAATTCAGCAGCATACATCTTTGATTCGCACTTGTCGATGTCGAGAAACACAAAACGACCCCCTTCACCCCCAGAGACTCAGGAAACGGTGTCTCTGATGTTTCCACCGCACCGCGTCCACATGCAAACTTTCTCCAGGCGACACGGACACACGGGACGGGAGAGTCCCCGCCCCTTTTCCGGGACTGCACAATTGATCGATCTCTTGAGAGGCGATGGTGGACTTTAAACGTGAAATCCCCACGCCCCATACTTTGGCAATACGAGTTAGAGCCACAACCTGAGAGCATCTCTTTCCTCTGTCTTGGATAGAAAGGGGGTGGTGCCTCAAGCGCACCTGCGCGCAGGAAAAGCTCCACACTCAACGCGGCACCATTCCGAGGAAATTCCCTCGCTCAACCCCGCCACCAACCCATGCCTTGGGAAAGCCAAGCCAAGCACTTGTTAAACTGCCCATGGCATCGGGCAGGGGAAGCAAACTGAGGTGGGGAAGGAGGGGGGCGCGGTTTTAAATGCAGCCCTCCAGGTGAGCCATAGGTAAGCCTTGCCTTTGCTCCGGCCACACCCACCCACCTCATCTCTGCATATTTCAAGGTGTGGGGAAGAAACGCCGCCCCATTCCCATATTTTGGAGACCCCGTCCCGGGCTTCCTCCTGTCACTCTCCTGCCCGTCCTGGACAGCCCCGGAGTCGCCTGCTGGCTCCGTCCAGGAAGCCAATGGCCATCGATTTCCCATCAAGGTGAGAGGGAGCGAGCAGCCCCTCCCCCTCTCTTCTCTCACACTCTTTGCTCCTTCACCACCACCACCAACCCTCATCCGTCCTTTTCTCTCTTACCTTGCAGCCTGGGCAGCCCCTGGGGTGGGGTGGGGGGCGTGTGGACCTCTCCGGGAAGAGACAGCAGGAGTTTGCCAGGGAGTCCGGCTCCGTTTTTGCTCGGGAGGCGAGCGCAGCACCAGGAAGCCCCGTCCCGGCTCGCCAAATTAATCACTTTGCCTGCTCCGCCAAAAGGGGAAAGGAGGAGGGAGGGAGGGAGGAGGGAAGAGAGGAAGAGAGAGAGAGGGAGAGAGGGAGAGAGGGAGAGAGAAGAAGGGAAGAAAATATCAAGCGTGCAGAAAGGAAGAAGGGTCCCTCCGTGACTGGCATCAATATCTCCTTCGGCAGAGCTTCAAGGGAGCCATGGCAACGAGCCCCTAAACCTCCCAAATCTCTCCCAGCTCTACACACACACACACACACACACACGCTGCTGCTGCTGCTGCTGCTCAAGGGAGGAAAAAGACAGCCAGAGCCAACCCCCCTCCCCACTTTACACCGCTGCAAAGCTGGGAGAGAGAGCTGGTAGTATTCCCTAGGAAAGAGTGAGAGAGGGAGGGAGAGAGAGGTGGGTGGGTGATGCGTGCCTTGGGGCATCGAGGGACCTGCTCACCCTGTGGCGACCTGGAATGATGAAAGGAACGTTTCCCGGTACCTGGGAATCATGTGTTTTAGGGAAGGAGCCCCTGTTTAACCCATCAAAGTGAATTATCCCCACCCCCTTAACATTCCCGGGCGCACCACACACAGAGACATACACACGCTTTCCAGAGTGAAATGTCTTTTCCCCATTTACAGAGCAACAGAGGGCTGGGGAAGGGTTTACCTGATCCCCCTCCCACTGCAGCAGGTGTGAAACCCCTTCCCTGAACATAAACGGCCAGTGATGGTCATCGTCTTCCGGGGGGGGGGGTAGAATGTGGTGAGAGTACTCTGGATATACAGTATAACCATCCCAATTATTTATATATTGGATTTGTTAAAAAAAGAAAAATGCGCGCGTGTGTAAAACATTCAAATATGTCGAGTAAAATACACAGGCACACAAATACAGCCAGGTGTGGAACTTCTCCCATTGAGCCATAAAAATTAAATGAGCTTTCCCTGAAGACACAAAACAAGGAGAGATGATCCCAGCTTCCCAGGTTTCCCTTCTGCCTCGAAACATAGAATGAAATGATCATTCCCTTAACTCAAAAGGAGTCAGACGCAAGGAGGAGACACCCCCAACTAGATTAAGGGGGCAGAAGTGTGTGTCTAAAACGCCGGGTTTTCGTTATTCGAATATCCCCTAATGGGTGGTAAAGTTTGAAATCACCCTCTCTCGCACGAGAACACACACACACGAACACACACACACACACACACACACACAGAGAGAGAGAGAGAGAGAGAGAGAGAGAGAGAGAGAGCGCTATCCTTGCCATGCTGAACCACCCTGCGTTACCAAGAGCAACAAGAAGCTCCTCCGGGAGCGCGCCGTACCTTGGAAAGGCAGCCGAGTTGTTCTTCTTCTTCAGAGCAGCTGCTTGCAACAGGGGAGAAAACGAGGAGGGGGGGGCGAAGCAGGAGGGAAGTGGGCACCACCAGGCATCAGATGGCTGGAGGAAGGTCTCCCTTGGCACTAGTGCCCTGCTCTCTAATCGTTTCACACACACCCCTACAAGCGCACGCATGCACAACTCCCCCCCCCGCACTCCTCCCCCCCCTCTTCCTCAGGCTGCATGAGATAGGAGGGATCGCATGCCAGCCGCCTCCTCCCTCTGCCCAAAGGTAAAGAGGTCCAGTCCTGGCATGTTGCTAGTGCCTCACACTTCCCCTCCCTGAACTCCTCAGGTATCTGCCACACCCTTCCAGCGAAAATGGGCTTAGAGAGCGAGAACAGCCAAGAAGTGCTGCTTGGAAAGTTCCCCACACTGTGGGGTGGAGGGGAGGAACTCTGAGAAATGGGGGTGGGAGAAGAAGACCCCTCCCTCTCACGGTGGGGGGAGAAGTGGGAGATGAGGCACAGGGCATGCACACTGATCAGCTATGTAGTAACGATGATGATGATGACGATGATGATGACAATAATAATAATGCCCCTCAACACCCAACTTCACCACCACCACAAAAAGGACATGCTGGAGGAATCTTTATACAGGGGCTTCTCCTCTGCAGGACACAAGTAAAATAAATGCCCTTTTGTTCTGAACAAGTAGATTGCATCCAGTTTTGGATGCATGAGATATTTGTCAGGGCTAATTTTGGGATGTACTGAAACAAGTGACAGAGAATTGCCATTTGAAATACCCACTTTAAATAGCCACTTCAACTCCAGGGTGATTGGTTAACCACACAGAGAGGCCGGTGACCAAAACCTGCTTTCCCAAATTGCCACTACATTGCATTGGTAAGAAATTATGTCATGCTAAATTGCTGCTGCAAACCCATCACTTTCTACCCTTCTCTGCCTGAAAAACAGGGGAATTTCTGTTGCCATATACTGAGTTGGCCCATTGGTCTATTTAGCGCCATATTGTCCACACTGACTGGGAGCAGCTTTCCATGGTTTCAAGTGGGTGGGTGTTCCCAATCCTACCTGGAGATGCTGGGGATTGAACCCAGGGTCTTCTGCATGCAAGGCAAGATGCTCTACTACTGAGCTACAGCCCTTCCCCATAGCTCAGACCCTGTTAGATGATCTGCAGGCATTATTGTCCACTGTGTTGATCAATGAAATTGTGGAATGGCCAGCAAAACAGTATTCAAATGGTTGTAGGAAATGAAGAAATGGCTTGCATAAAGTTGAGACCCACCATCAATCACAGATATGTCAGGGACCCCTTCCCCCAAGCTCTTGGGATGCTTACAACCTTGTCTCCCACTTCCCACTCTCACTCATTTTGGTACTAAAACAGGATCTCAGTAGAAATCACAACAACCCTGTGATGTAGCCAATTTTAGCTTTCCTCTATTACAACCTCAGAGTACACCCAGGTAACTAAGCAGACATCTGAATGGCCAGCATTGGCATACAGTGGTGCCTCGCAAGACGAAATTAATTCGTTCTGCGAGTTTTTTCGTCTTGTGAATTTTTCGTCTTGCAAAGCACGGTTTCCCATAGGTATTAACGGTTTTAAGAAAAAGGAAACAAACTTGCAAGACATTTTCGTCTTGCGAAGCAAGCCCATAGGGAAATTCGTCTTGCGAAGCAACTCAAAAAACGAAAAACTCTTTCGTCTTGCGAGGTACCACTGTATGTTTGGTCCTGAGACGTCATCTGCAGCCTTTGGTGCCTTCCGTCGCAAGCAACTGTGTTTCTGAATGGTCATTGCAACGCACTGGCATGGCTTGGATCCTCTTAAACTACTCCCCTTTCAAAACTGGTTTCCATTCTTATCTGCATAAAAATCAGCAGATTTTCTGAATGGGGTGCATTGCCTCAGCTGTAATTCTGCACACACCCCATTCAGAAACAGAAAGCTTCAGAATAAAGGCATATCTCCAGTTGGCCTTATGAATGTGTTATGCCATCTTGCAGTGAGTGGACTGCGGTTTAGCACCTTGCCCTGAAAACCTCAACATAAAACTCTACAACAGGCTTGTCATTCCAAATGTTCATAGGAATGCACTGAGTTTGGGCAGTGATTTTGCACCAACCTGCTGGCCTAAAGCATGCTAAAATATTGGCCCTTACGAGTGCATATCAAATTGCAGAGAAAGTGAGCCATGTCTTTCTTTAGCATCATAAAGGTAAAGGTAAAGGACCCCTGGACAGTTAGGTCCAGTCAAAGGTGACTATGGGGTTGCAGCACTCATCTCGCTTTCAGGCTGAGGGAGCCGGTGTTAGTCCACAGACAGTTTTCTGGGTCATGTGACCAGCATGATAAAACCACTACCGTTGCACGGAGGACCGTGACAAGTGCCAGAGTTCACAGAAATGCCATTTACCTTCCTGCCACATTCATCTCCTTGCACTGGTGTGCTTTCGAACTGCTAGGTTGGCAGGAGCTGGGACAGAGCAATGGGAGCTCACCCCGTCGCGGGGATTCGAACCGCCGACCTTCTGATCAGCAAGCCCAAGAGGCTCAGTAGTTTAGACCACAGCACCATCCGTGTCCCATTTAGCATCATATAAATGCATTGTTAATCTGAATGGCCATAGAAATTACCTAGAAATGATTTGGGTGGTCCAGCTGCCTATGACAAAAACCAGACTCCTGGGATGCTAACAGCAGCTCATTTCTATGCTTTTCTCTGACTTACTCTGCCTGAGTATTCAGGTATATTTTTGCCACAGTCCTTACGACAACCTTCTGAGGTACATCAGTATCATTTTCAAATTTATTTGATGAGCACCTGAAGTTGAGAGAATAGAGCTTTGCAAACTGTGCATTTCTAAGACTGGGGTGCAGTGTTGAAATCCAAGGGGTAGTTTAACCATGCATTCAAAGCCTTAGCTGGCTCTCAGTGGATGAGGGGAAAGAAGCTTGGACAAGGCAGAGGGCAGCTCCCTATATTACTATACTAATTTATATTCCATATCCAGGGGTATATGTTTACTTTGCTTCTTCCCTTTTACAAAACTAAGTACCTTCCACCTTGTTTGTTGCTTGATGGTATTCTGTTAAATTAAGAAAATCAACTTAATTTCTGAGATACCAAGTAAAAAAAGATAGATGCTAAAACTGCAGTCCTAATCCCATTTAACTGGAAGTCAACTCCATTGAATGCAATACGGTTTACTTCTGAGTAGACATGGGGTGGTATTCAAATATGTTTTCTCAGAGAAGACCCACTAAAATTGATTAAGTTAGATCCATTAATTTCAATAGGTCTGGTCTGAGAAAAACTTAGTTGAATACCACCCATGGTCAGAATTGCACTGTTTGTAAACTGTGTTGAACAATTAATATTGATAAAGTCTAAAGATGCACAATAGCGGTGTTTCTTTTTGCAAAAATCTGAAGAAAAAATGCACATTGATTTGGTAGTTTCTTCTCAGTTTTAGTAAAAAACACTGTTCTGATACAATCCCTAGGTAGCTTTAAAAAAACTTTTCCTTCTAGGATGTAGGCAAGGAAACAGGCTTGCTTTTCTCATTTCTGTGATGTTTTCTACAAACCTTTACTCACTTTTGATAGACGTTAATTGGATTATACGTGTGCCGTTTCCAAACATTCATATGAGCACCATCT